CAAATATGATGCTCTAAAATGTATGCATAATGAATTAGTTATTGTGTTATTCCTCAGACATAATCTCATTTTTGTCTGTTAGTTCCTGCATGTAAAGAAAAGGCCTTCGAAAGATCTGATCGTTCGCATCAGAATTTTGAATCCCCGAAGATACCCCAATATTCGATGTTGAATCTCCAAAAAATGCCCCAACATATGGTGTTGAATATTCAAAGATGCCCCCATTGTTCCTCATTTCTTGCTTCAACATTGATTCTAAGCATGAGCTTTGTGTTTGAAAGCCACTTGTCATTTATGAAGATCCACTCTAGAGAGATTGTCTTGTTTGAAAAAATGTTTTTCTTTCTCTTTTATTTTCAAAGTTCTGAAAATATCAATTAAAAGAGTTTCGAAAAAGTTTAATCAAAAGTTTTGAAAATATTGTCCCTTTCACGGTTTTACAATTGAGACGAATCATAAAACTAGAGTTCATTGGATATCAAAGAATTAATTACATTGTTAATCCTTCAATAAATTATAACTATTTGACAAGTGCCAAGATCAAAGCTATCTTTGGGAAATGGTTAAACAAGGAAAAAAAAGAAAGTCTCTGGTTATTGTGTTTGGTCAAAGGTTTGGCATTTTTGTTTATTTGATGCTTAAAGGTTTTGACGGGGTAGCTTGTATGCTCCTCTACTAGAAGTGTTCTCCGACTCCTAGCTTTCATGGTCACGCTTGGATTGTGCGATGCCTTATCAAGAAATTTTTGCGATCGCCTCAGCTGCCTAATTTTTATATTCGAGTCGCTTTTTCAGGTTTTCAACTCGAATCCTCCTATGGTTTCAAGACGTCATTCAGAATTTACGTCTTGAACCCCCTTTATTATTTTTCTCTATCATGCATTAAATATTTTAAAAACTTTTTGCAAATGAAGATTAATCCTGACTGGCGGGATGAAATCTGAAGATAGTCTCTTCTGTTTAGAAATCTATGTATGATTAGAAGGGACTTTTAAGGCACGTAATGTAGGTCATGGTTCATGGTTATGAAAGAAAATGATAAATATGCCCAAACAAGTGTTTTAGGGTATCAAACCAAGGATCAATTCATTCTGATGCCTTCAATCTTGTCTTGCCCAATTTGAATATGCTCGTATGTGTTTCTCTTTATTTTCTTTGGATGTTCCATGATCTTTGTGCTTGATCAATCTCATAATTTGAATCTCAACGCGTCATTTGATTCGAGTGAATCTTTGCATATGCGTCTTGTTTTTTTTTTTCTTATTTTTTATTTTCTCTTTACTTTTTTCTCTTTTTGTTCTGATTGAATCTTCGCACTTGACATTTGGTTCACCCTTCGGTATCTCATCTGAATCAATGTCTTCATTTCATACATGGAAGTCTTCATAGAAGAGGTATCCCTAGGGGGATAGATTTTCAGGATTAATTTTATTCACATGAAAACAATGTAATTAATGCATGATATAATTATTTCAAATGAATTCTTCTCTCTGCTTCTTGCTCCCGACATATCTCAATGTTTAGGCTCACTGCGAGATGCCCCAAGTTGTTTCTTAGAAGAATGCTCATGTTCAAAAGAATAACTCAATGCCTTGGGGTTTTAATGGTATAAAAAGGTCAATTTTGAGTCTAAAAAGAAAATGGTGAGACTTTATTGACTCAAAGAAAGGTTCAAAAGTTTCAAAGCGTGATAATGTCAAAATCTGGTCTTTTGGTAATGACCATGAGTTATTTTGGGTAAAGAATCAATGTATTTTATTTTGGGATTTGAGACAGGATAAGAAAGGTCTAATCTAGTCATATGTCAAAAATCTATAATTCTTGAAGAATTAAAAGAATTTTTAATTCATTTAATATTCGAAGAACTAAAGATTAAAATTTGTTCAAATATTCCACCTTAGAAAGTAGCATAAATTCAATTGTTTAATAGATTAAGCAGACATGAAAGATCAAAGACGTGTTCAAACAAAACAATGCTCTAAGTGCAAATGGTATATGTAATGCCCCCTTCTTTGACTGTCCATGCCCCTGAATCCATCATGTTTTGGATCTTACGCTTCGGTGCCTTATAGCTCTTTGAGAAGTGTCTGAAGCTTCCTATGTGGTAACTGCACACAACTTCAACATCGTAGCCCTTAGGATATAGGGATTCTTTTCTCAGATCATCCTGGCAGGCTTAGTCCTATAATCAGCTGATCAAGCTCCCACTGTACCGATTTCAGTTTTTTTTATTTAATTGTTACAATCTTGCTTCCATGTGGTGTCATGTGGTTAAGACCACTTCATCGCATCCTCCATGAAGAATTTTCATGTTTGTGAAAATGCTTAAAAATAAAATGTAGATGCAAAATGCAAAAATGCATATGCAAACTGCAAAAATGTATGAAATGTTTGAGGCATTGATATAAAAATGTGTCTGTTATTATAAATAATCTTTATTGGGACAAAAGTGTTTTATTTTTTAAGAGACAAAAACATCAGAGGTATATTCTGACTAAATCCTCTAGACCCGGAACATGTTGACTTGCCTTCGTCTGTCATCAGTCGAATGCCCTGCCGAACCGCTCCGGCTTCTTTGGCTAAACCGTGCAAGTGACGAGCTGCGTTTTGTACTTATTCCTAGAAGTATCGAATGATTGCATCTCTGGCTTCCATCATTTGTTGAACATGTTCTCTAATGAAAACGCAAATCCTCCATCCAAGGGATTATCTGAAGTTCATTTGATTGTTTCTTGAATTTGTAGACAATGGCTTCAATTCAGCTATCGTTTTTCCATCTTGTTCTTGTTGTCTTTGAAGGGACTCTCCAAGTCAGCATCCATTTTTGAAAAGTGGACTTTTGATGTGCTTGGTGTAAATCCTGGTCCATTCTGAGTTATTCACAATGCAACATAGTGGTATATTCCTCGATTGTGGGCACCACGTCTTCGTGATTGAATGTGACAGATAATTGCCTTGCAGAGTGTCTCCCTTTTCCTTCTGAGTCTTTTCTGGCCATAGTCGGACCTCTGTGTGTTTTACCTCTTGTTTTACAACCCCTTTTTCCATTAATGCAAATTATTTACGTTTAACAAACATGTTTTCGAGGGATCAACACTTCTTTCAAATGACGTAAATGATGAAAAATGAAAAAGAACATAAATGAAAGAAAAAAAATTAGTGAGATAAGGATAATAAAAAAATAATGAAAATGAAAAGTCCTACCCCACATGATATCTACCCACATGCTTATGATTCCTACCCGGATATGATCTCTATCCCATAAGATAATTTTGAATAAGTCCTAACCGCATAAATTTTTAGTTCACATGCTTTGAACGTGAAATAAAGCAGGAAATAAAATCAAACAGGCCTAGGGTTTGAAAATGAGGTTTTTGGGTGGACTCTAATTCTCCACAGTCTCCCGGTTTTGGTTCTAAAAAATAGTACCCGAGTTCTCTGTGTGGGTGCCCCCTTGGGCTTGCTAGACCCTTAGTCCTAAACCCATCACAGGCTTGTGTGGACTAAGTTAAACTCGAAAGGACACATTCCCTTATGTCTGTGCGGTGAATAAATTCACACGAAGACATAAGGTATATGAATCCCGAAGGCTACTTGCTAGGCCTGTGGTGAATAAATTTACACGAAGGCGTCACTTTCACCCCCACTTAAATAGGGTTCGGAGCTCGGGTATAGAGCCTGAGATGAAAATTTTGAAAATATGAAATCATTGAAAAAACGTCAGTACAACTATTTACTTGAAAAAAATAATCAAAGATAAATAATTGAATCGAATAAATAAATTTAAATTTAAATTTACTATTTTTGCATAAAAAGACATCCGAAAAATTAATTCTGACCTGACTCACTTACCTGTCCCCAGTGGAGTCGCCAAGCTGTCGTAACCGTCTTTCGGTTGGGCACCGGAATTGGGCTTCGACTTGAATTAATTGGGTTGGGAGTCGCCACCGACCATTTTAAAACGAATTTAGATGGGTCGGACACCATCTTACCTGATTTGTGTTTTTACCAGAAATGTGTCGGGTTCAGGAGTCGGTTACGGTCAAGGAAGGATTAGCACCCTCGAACCGCCTTTTCGGTACCAATTAATTTGTCGGTTATCTTAATTGCGAAAATTTAAATTTAAATCTAAAATATCAATTCGAAAAATTACCTCTGATCGATTGAAATTATTATTGAAATAGGTAAAAAGAATGTTAAATTAAAAAAAAAGAAATATCAAATAAAAGAAAAAATGAATTAAAAAAGTTTTTTAAAAAGATAATAATAAAATATTAAAAAGGATAATAAAAAATGAAAATGAAATAATAAAAAGAGCAAAAATAAAAATAAATAAATAATAATAATAATAATAAAATAAATAAATAAATAATATTTTTAAATCCAAAAAAATGATTAAAATAAAATAAATTAAAAAATAGGTAAATAAAATATGTAAATAAAAAATAGTAACTGAATAAAATAAATTAAAATAAATAAAATAAAATAAAAGGCCTCGATTAGGATACTTGAAAATAGCAAACAAACAAAGAAATTAGATAAAATATTAAGTAAAAATAATATAATAATAAACGATGATAAAAGAACTAAAAGATGAAACAATACAACAACTTAAAAACAAAGATTAAAGACAATACGATAAATAAATAATTAACAACTAAACAAAATCGAAAACAAATTAAATATGACTGAGAAGTGAGAAGTTTATATATTGCTCGAAAGAAACCTGAAAATAAATAAAAGGAAAAAATGTTAGATTAAAGGATAAATCCGAATTAAAAATTTAAAATAAAATAAATTATGATAAATATAGAATATGGACCAATCTAAAATAAAAGTAAAGTTGAATGACTAAGTTAAATAAACAAAAAATGATAAAATGGGCCGAATCAAATCAGTGAATAAAGTTAGAGAACTGAAAGAATGATTTTTCCAAACTTCTTCAAAATAGGTGGGTTACACCCTGGAATTATCTGGCACCCACGTTCAATGTTATGGGAACCAAAATTGAAAATTTTGGTCCATTTCTTCCTTTCCTCAAATAGTGAAAGAGAGACATTACACTCCCCTGATCCGATTCTCAAAGGCCGGCGATGGAGCTGCCATGATGATCATTGTCGATCCCGGTCCGTCGCTCGTCGTCCAGAAATGTCCCCAATCATCGGTAAAGCCGTCGATCGAGAGGTATGATATGAATTTAGTTTTTTGTAGGTTCATTCGAATGATAAATAAAAACAAACCAAGAAAAAATGAAAAAAAACAGGGAACTGATCCCTAAAAATTTGATTGATTTATTTTGCTTTGAGTTACAATCCCCGTCTCTCGATTCTCCCCCCTTTTACATCGTTTGATTACATGTATTTATAACGAAAAACAAACTCTATTTTTAGAATCCTACTCATGATAGAGTCCTAATGTATCTCGGTTGCTTGTGGTTTATTTTCCTTGCGCCGTAGGACTCGGAGGTGTGGCCAGAGTGCACGAGATGTGCTGCCATGAAACTCGGACACGGGTTGACCTCATGCGGTGCTGGTGACTGCTGGAACAAGGATGGATGAGCTAGGGTTTGAAGAACGGGTCACTGGGATTTGTTTGTACTTAGGCCACCATTTGTAAAATGTTGGGCTTGAGCCTGCAAAACAAATGAAAAAAGATGAAATATAAATATGAATATTATATAATATAATTTATAAATATTATATAATATAATGAATTTAAACCGGATGAAATTTGGTGTCTTCAGTGGTGCTCAAACTGATGATCTTTAAAGATAACAATCATTTATTTAAATTACTGGAATTACTTGGTTCATACAGTTTACGTTAATATTTAATATTTGTTATTATCTAGTTTACAATATCATATTTCATATATAAATTCTATAAAATAAATTATAATGAAAATCGAATTATATATTTATTTAGTTAAAACTAGTTTATAATATCTTTGAAATTAAGATCTAAATATTTGTGATATATTATTTGTAATTGTTTTGGGAATGAATTATAACGAGGATTGATTGAATTACGTGTTATATACATTGTCTATTGCGCTTTGTATTTGTTTATTCACTTTTTAATTTAAATTATTTCATGCGAACCAAGTTACCTTAATGGTCAAAGAAACAACGGTTATTTTTGAAGATTTTAAATTTAAACTCTAGAGATCGAAGAGGTTATGTTTTATTATGTCATTTAAAGTTTATTATGTTCTATAATATATTTTTAAATGTAATTAAAAACTTAATATAAGTTGAAGATTACATCCACAAGCAAGTCACAAATTCAAACGATTAATTAAGTGATTGCTATGTTTTTAAAAACATAATTAAAATTTAATTTGAATAAATTTTATTATGTTATTCAAATGTAACATCTCTCACTCGAGTAGTAATAAGGTAGAATAGGGGTATTACATTATATGGTTGAGCAATAAATGAATAGAGATTTGAGAATGGGAGAAACAATAAGAATCAATTTAGAAACTGCTACTGAGAGCGTGGTATTTATATGAACCAGGAGAGAGGGGGAAAGAATATGAACGTGGGGATGTGTAAAAAGATTCAATTCGTTGATCCGATCCTGAAAATTCGGATATTTAATCTATTTTTTTATTTTCGGATAATTCGGATAGGATACGGATCGAAAAAATTTATTAGTGTTTGCTCCGTTTTAGATGTTGATCTATGGGGAGTATTTGTGGGGCTCTCGTATACTTGGAATGCTGGTATACTCAAAGTCGTGGTCGAGGTCGATAGCATGGACGCCGTTCGCCTGCTCCAAACGAACGAAAAGAATCAAGTGTGTTCGTCACTTCTAGTACATATTTTTTAATTGCTAAGACGTATCTTGTCCATTAAAATCCAACATGTTATGCGAAGCGGCAATAAGATAGTAAATTGTTTAGCGAAGAAAGTACAACCAGGAATCCCTGAGGATCGACTCTACCAGACACCACTGACGGAAGTGCTTCTACTGCTTCAAGAGGATGAAAAAGCTCACCACATTCAAGCTTAGTTAAGCGTACTGTTATCTCATTTATTCACCAAGAAAAATTGAATCAAAATGCCAGTCAACTAAAGGCTAATAACAATGGTGATTGACGGACATATTAGTCAATCAGAGACTAATCAAATTCCTGACGGGCCACATGCTAGTTGCATGTCCTTAACGAAATAAAAGTCTAAATGCTTAATCCGTTGTAGTTGGGTCCTGATCTGACCGGGTTTGTAGAATTTTGATAATCTTTTCTTTTTGATCCAAGCTCAATTTTGGATGAAGGGGAAGAAGGTTTTTGGCGAGAACTGAATAAGTCAAACCAATTATTAAATCTACACGCAAGGTGCATGACTCCATGAGCCAATGGATAAGGTGCTGATCTACGGAACCAGAGATTCGAGCTTGATCCCCAGTGGAATTGTATATGAAATAACAATTTTAAGTTACACTCCGATTCCATCATGAGGGACTAAGATGTGCCACACCGGATTAGAATAAACCTCCCAAGGTACAGAACGGAATTAATACCAGGGAGTGATGCAGAGGCGGCAGAGTCCGCAACGGCAAGAGCAGAGGCTGTGTTGCGGAATTCAGATGGAGATTGGACCGAAGGTTACCAGGGGAACGTCCGAATAAGCACGATTCAACAAGAGCAGTCATGGTGGCTTGAATATTGCATGGCATAGAGTATTTGGGGATTGCTTTTGAAGTGGAGCAATGGGCTAATAGTTTTCGTGTTGAAGTTGGGCCAGTTGTAGGATTTACCAAAAGAGCCCAAATATTACTACTTCTAGAAAAGCCAGCCTTAAGCTATGAGAATTCATTGGCAATTTGGCTCTGATCTTCACGCGCTCGTTTCCGGGTATTAAAAGTCGAGTGGTGGTGGTTGTAGTTGTGGCGGAAACTGACTGACCGGTGAGTGCCGGCGAGCACAAAGCAAAGAGAAGCTCTGGGTTCCCATCTCCTTTTTGCCTGAGAAATAGAAGCAAAAAAATGGCGAAGAAAGCTTCAAAGTCGAAAAATGATCGTTCATCTTCAACCTCCGTTGCTTCAGCTAAGAGTCCATCAACAACATCCAATCAGTATTTATCTCTCTTTCATCCTTCTTCTTTGCAGTATTTTCTTTTGTAACTTGCAAAACAATTATAGTTTTCTTTGTTTATTTTTGCTTGTTAAGGGGTTTTTTGGGTTAACAATAGACACTTTTGCTTGAATAAAAATTGGTAGCCAAATGGTATTGAGGATGAAATCAAGTGACAAAATGAAGAAGATAGCTCAAGGGAGTGTTGTTAGCGAGAAAGAAACGAGACCCAAGTCAAGGCTCAAATCGAAGCTGCAGCAGAAGAAGAAAACAAAAGTCGATGCTAAAATGCCCAAGAAACCACCGACTGCTTTCTTTTATTTCTTGTGAGTTTTCTTATGTATAATATTTGTTCATGGATTTGGTTTAGTTTTTGCTTATAATATCATTTCTCTTAGCCGCAATTGATCATGCTTCTTGTATCTTTCCTTCCTTGGAACTGGGAATCAGGTTCTTGAGTTAGACTTTATATATATATATATATATTTGCAGACCACCCCCCCCCAAAAAAAATTCCGGTATTATTCCCAGAGGGAGCTCCTCAGGTTCTCGAATAGGCGAACTTATCGATGAAACTTGAAGAGTTTGTGCTTGGTGGGATTTGAAACTAATGTCTGAGAGCATGGACATGGATTCAAATCCCACCAAGTACAAACTCTTCAAGTTTCCTTGGTCGACTCACCTATTCAGTCATCGAAGGTGCTCCTGCTAGACGGAACCCCCAGAGATAGAGCCGGGAGAGAAAAAAATGCTCCAGGGATAATACCGAATGTGATGAGGAGTCTGTAAAAATCCTTAAACATTATGTATGTATGCATGAATGTCCTCTTGTGATAGACATTGATCTAACCTAGTTTTCCTTCTCATATACTCAAGGGAGGATTTCCGCAAGGAATTTCAAGAGCAGAACCCGGATATCAAGTCAATGCGTGATGTATGTTATGGTTTTGAGAACACAATTCTTAGCTTAGCAAAATGACCCGTCTGTAACATATATGTTAATGAATACTGCAATATGCTGTTTCAGATTGGGAAGGCATGTGGTGAGAAGTGGAAGACGATGACATATGAGGTTTGTGCTGACTAATCTTGATTTGGGTCTATTTTTTGCTGTGCCCCTTACGAATTCATATCATTGAGTAATTGACATATGCTATTTTGTTCGCATGCAATATGAGTTGTCCATTATCAGCATGTAAATTATAATCTGGCTATCTCTATGTAAATTTTAGTAATGATTTTTAGCTTCGTGTTAGCCTAAATCCTTGGCCATGGTAATTGGTGACATTGGTTTGTCAAAGCATACTTAAGTTCTCTTTAAATACGAGGTGTACATTTGTTATCTGCTCATGGACTTGTTCTAGGATGAAGAAAATAGTTTCGATGTCTAACTGCATAATACTTCTAAGATTAGTATGTCATTGCAGGGTGATAGAATTGTTCCGATTTTCGTTATTAGCTTATTGCACTAGTAAATGATTTTCTTGACCTAACTAGGGATGCAGAACTTAGTAGCATGCATAGAAATAACTTGACAATCGGTATCTGTACATGCCAAGGATGCCAAATGTCTTAGGTTGATTCATATTCCGCGACTTGAAGATAGTAAAATGTACATAACAATAGAAATTTAAGGACTTCAATAATCGAGAAACAACTATTAGGGCCGGTTGTCTAACATACTAATTTCAATTTCTCTTCAATAGGAGAAAGTTAAATATTACGATATTGCAACTGAGAAACGAGCAGAATTTGATAGAGCCATGGCAGAGTATAATAAAAGAAAGGTAAAATTGCTTCAAGTTTCCTACTGAAATTTTATTTCCAAAATAAGCAGTTAATTTATCTCGCTGAAAGTTTTCATCGTTGCAGGAAAGTGGCGAAGATGAAGAAACTGAAGATGATTCGGATTATGAGGAATAAATCAAAACCTTAGTGTTGTACCAGGAAATGCATAGATGTAGTGGTTTATGACTTACGAATTGCACATATTGATGTAGGGGGATATGATCATCATTCCTGTATCATTTTTTGTGTGTAAATTTTCTGCTCGGATATTGCCCTTACATTATTGCCGTGCAGACTTGAAAAACTTCATCTGACTTATAATTCAAGTAAATATTCACGTATTTGATGGCTATTTTTTGTATCTCCGTTCCTATTTGTCTTGGATTTTATTCAAAATATGTTTGGAATTTTATTCAAATTACAAATCCCAAAATAAAGGGATTGCTGGATGATATTGATATAGCTCCTGTGGTGAACAGGAACAGCAGGCTAAGGGAAATGAGTGCTTTCGTAATTCTCTCAAAGGCAACTTGTAAGGCGGTGAGTAATGCTGCATGTGATATCCGAATGCAGCTATCGTCCCCTAATGCAGATCCGGGGGCTAATGCAACCTGAGCCTTGTCAAGGAAGCATCGACAAAGTGACTCCAATTTTTTATTTTACCAAAACCTTCAGCTTGGTAAGGATTTGAATCAATGAATAGATAAAAAGTTTCACGAGGTTCTGATACCTTAGCGCCTTCCAGTACCCTTAAGCCTTTAACCGAGGAATCTCGTTGTTTCCGGAATGCTCATCATGGCGGAAACTGCTTTCCGGCAAGCATAGACCAAGCCTAATGCAGCACCCCTGCTTTTTTGGGTCCAGCAATGCATCCAAGTCGCCGACCATTTATCTCAAAAGCCTTAGAAAAACATTGCCCGTAAGAGGTCGCTCCGAGATTCTTGGATCTATGCCCGTAAACGAATCGAATGTTCAGCCAACTGTTCGTGAACCGTTGGGCGGGTAATTCGTTTATTTATTAAACGAACTAATATGAACAAGATTTTATGTTCATTTAATTAAATGAACAAACAAAAACAAAGAGTTTGTTCGTTCATTTATGTTCGTCAACATTCGGTAATCTGTTCTTTTGTGTTCATTCGTTTTTATTCAACCCAATCTCTAGACTTGTTTGAAATATTAAGATCTAATAATTTTTAACTTAAATTCAATAATATTTTAAAACTCAATTCATTTTATACTCAAATAAAAATACTCAAATCAATTAAATAAAATATAAATCCAAAAATTATTTGAAAATAAAAAAAAACTTCTCTCAATTATAATATAAACATAATTAATTTTATATTTGTTTATTTATATTCGTTTACGTTCTTTCATTTGTGTTCATTGTTGGAAATAAATATTGCAAAAGCACAATGTTAGGATTGACAGAACATTTTAAAAATAAAATCAACAAATGAAGTGTTGTGGTGAAACCACTGCCTTAGAAACAAATTCGTCTTGATGTGTGTAATCGTTGTGATAGGCGGATTGTCCCCTAAGGTTAGCACGGTCGTTCAGAAAATTTGTACACCCGAAATCAGAGTGGACTACGGTGGTACTGCTCTTCTTGTAGCGCTGGAAAATATGTAGATAGCTTTAGAAGCCTTAGAGAGAAATTGAGAGGATTTTCAAGTTGTTGGATGATTTGAGTAGCTGAAAATGCTTCTCTATTTATAGGCTAGACTTAGTGTTAGGCTATAACAGAACTGATGTATACGTGCTTGCACTATAGTATAGTTAGTTAGCTTAGGCGCCAAAGTTGTTAGTCTGTTAGCATATATTGTTAGTTTAACAAACCAGTTTCATTAGCTATAAAATGGTGTGCTTGTAAGTGAGAAATCAATGAATTCAATCTCTTCTTTCAGCTTATACATTTTCCAATATGGTATCATTCGCCAAACGGTCCTGACCTTGTTGTTCGTTCGTTGCATCCTCCTCTGTTGTCGTCGGCTTCTGTTTCCAGCGCCGCTTAAAACGGAAGACCGTCGGCGTACGGAGACTAAACCAGTTCATGTTGTCAGACAAACGAAGGGGATTCCTGTAGTGGAAGATACCGCCCAAGCTTCTGATGCATTACCCCTTCCTTTGTATCTAACGAATACGGTGTTCGTCACACTCTTCTTCTCCCTGGTTTATTTTCTTCTTTCCCGTTGGCACGAAAAGACCCGAGTTTCAATTCCTCTCCACGTCATTACTTTTTCAGAGGTAAATGAAGTCTTGCTTTGTAAAAAAGATGCACGTACAGTCCCTTGTCGCCAAGCTCTTGATGGCTCGCTTCCTTCACTGCCTTCTTGTGCACCGAATGTAATTGCCCATATACTATTCGATGGAAAGCCTGTTAGAGTTATAATCGAGGAAGCTACCCGTAAGTCCCTTACATGGAGAGATTAATGGATGCAGAGGGTATATCAGAAACTGAAGCAGTTTACAATTTTGTGGTAAGCATGGCAATAAGTTGTTGACATTGTTGTGTGGTAAGTAATCCGTTGCAGTACTGTTGTTATTGCTAGTACCATTGACATTACCAGCATTACTAGTACAATAGCCTGAAGATTCAGAAACTACATCAGTAGACGCAACATGAGAAGTCTTAGAACGAGAACCATACTCTCGAGGGTAACCATGTAGTTTATAACACTTGTCTTTTGTATATCCCAACAAAAGGGTCATTGTATAAAAGGATGAAGAAGAAATAAATGAAGGTGAATAAGAAGAACGAAAGGAAGCATCGACACTTTCGATTCAAGTGAACGGAAGGAAGCATCGGCACTTTCGATTCAAGAAGAACAAAAGAAAGCATCGACACTTTCGATTCAAGTGAACGGGAGGAAGCATAAGCACTTTCGATTCAATTGTTTATCTTTTCATCAAGAAGGTTGAGAAAGTAGGGAGAATGTTAGGCTATAACAGAACTATTGTATACGTGCTTGCACTATAGTATTGTTAGTTAGCTTAGGCGCCAAAGTTGTAAGTCTGTTAGCATATATTATTAGTTTAACAGACCAGTTTCATTAGCTATAAAATGGTGTGCTTGTAAGTGAGAAATCAATGAATTCGGTCTCTTCTTTTAGCTTATTCGTTTTCCAATACTCAGGGACAAAGTCGTCCAAGCAAGAATCAAATTAAATTCTAATTTTAGTATTTTCGGATTTTATGCATCCATAAACGAATGAACTTGGTCTTAAAGTTCTCCAGGTTCATGCTTCGGAAATAGTTATTACAACTAATTAGCCTGCAATTAAACCCTGTAATTAAAGCAACATAAGGACTATATAATTTATTATGTATATAGCTGAAATACTGTTCAGAAACATCATATATTCTGACAAGACAAAATTCTGAAAATAATGCTTATCAAATACAACTAACCGTTACTAACTTAATTTACAAAATTCAAAACGACAGCTAATATAGTTGTTACACCTCTGTAAATTTTTAATCGAATAACAACTCATTGTTCAGCCTATAAATCTCAGAGTAAAAATTCTTTCACAATCTTTGTTTACTCACTAGGAATTTTCTCCAAAAAAGATAGAACACGTACGGACGTGTAGAAGACACGTATTGCCATGAGCCACGAGTACGAGCATGAGACAGACAGTGGTGGCGCGCGAGATGGGCCCTTGTTCTCTATCACTCAATAAGGGATGGAAGAATAAACATTAAAAATACCCTTGCAAATGGCATTTACTACTCCATGTAAATGGCAATGAAGGCTGCGAGATGGACCCTTGTTCTCTATCACTCAACAAAGGGAGAAAAGAATGAACACTATAAATACATTTGCAAGTAGTATTTCTCACTTCATGTGGACGACGGTGGCGGTGCGCAAGATGGGCCCTTGTTTTTTGTCATTTTAACGAATGAACATGAACGAATAGGAACATGAACGAATAGGAACACGAACAAGCTAAATTTCTTAATGAATGAACACGAACAAGAAATTTTGTTCGTGTTCATTCATTAGTTCGGTTAAAGTTAAATGAACGAACATGAACATACCCTCATTCGGTTGGTTTACAAGCCTACCTGGCACTGATGCAGAGGTCGTGTTGAGTTGCCAGAATGAAATCGGGAAGATTGAATTAAAAAGAAGTAATGATCAAGATTGAACTCAAATATCTTAAATGTTTACTTGACAGAACCCTAATTTTCTTACAATCAATAACAACAGTAATAGAAATGGATCAAAAAACTTCAACCAATGACTAGTTCATCGAATCTAAGATTATTAAGAAACGATAAACAACTGAGAAGGGGCACTTCATTTATTCCTTTCATAACCAAAAGAAATAGGCAAAACTTCATATTAATTTCCTTGAAACGAATAGATGAACTCAGCAGGATCCATTTGAACAAGCAACGATGAAAAAGTATCTCTACCACTCATCAGCTGGTTCAACTCATCTTTTTATTTACAGAAATTCCTTATTATTTCAAGAAGAAATGCTTCGATTAGTGGAGGATAAATTCACGGTGTAGACTTTAAAGGGCACGATAAAAGGATGGAAAATAGAGAGGATATTTAGCAGAAGATGGTAGCAGCAAGGCTGGAGAAGAGTCACAGCAGCAGGAAAGACAGGAATCCCACACTGTTAAGATATAAGCATGTGCTCCCCAAGTGAACCTATAAATTAAAGCAAAAATTCGACTCTTCCTTCACGGTGCCGGGTGGTGAGCTCAAAGCGAATTATTCTTTTGCCTTTTACTAAAGAATACATGTGTGCTCGACGCTAAAAGTGGCATATGCCTAATTTTGGGATAGCCGTTCTTTGGTGAATAGGTTTTACTATTTTTAGAGTTTGATTTTTCTCTGTTCGATAATTATGTAGGAGATTGTTAAAAAGTTAAAAATAGTGATCAACTTTATTAAAAATATTAGTTTATCGAATTTAGTAGTAGTAATGGTTGAAAAATTGACAAATTTTTAATTATTATCTGTCAAATTCGGTGCATTAATGCATCGATAGTTGATCATTATTTTTGACAAAGTTTGCCACTTTTTTTTAACTTTTTAACAATATTTCACTTGAATATTTTATTAGAACAATCATATCTTCACACTATTCATGTTGCTTAAGTCTCTGACTAACCATAAGAGGATTGACACCAAGTAAATTTATTAACATTGATCGCCTTTGTCATAATATCTGTTATGTTTTCCTTGGTATGGATTTTTGCATATTTAACGTCCATTTTTTCACCTTTTCATGAACGAAATGGTACTAAACTCGTATATGTTTTGTCCTTAAATGAAATGATGGATTCCTTTCTAAATGCAAGGTGCTTTGACTATACAAAACAGAGATACATACTCTTGATTGTTCCCGAGCTCCTCCAATAACTTCTTCAACCATATTGCTTCTTTACTGGTTTGTGTAGCTGCTACATATTCTGCCTCTGTTGTTGATGTAGCCACAACTGACTGCAATTTTGAAACCCAACTTACAGCTCCACCAGTAACTTTGAACATATTTTCTATAGTAGATTTGATTTTATCCAAATCCCCTACATAGTCAGAATCGACATACCCATTGATAAGTAAGTTTGATTCTCCGTAACATAGTGCAACATTTGAGGTCCCATTGATGTATATCAAGATCCTCTTTACTGTATTCCAATCCTCTTTTCCTGGATTCGTTATGCACCTTGTAACCACTCCCACTGCTTGTGCAATGTTTGGTCTTGTGCATATCATAACAAACATTAAACTTCCCACTGCCGATGAATATGGTACTCGAGGCATTTCTATAATCTCTTCTTCACTGCTAGGACTCATATTGGAGGATAATTTGAAGTTAATAGAAAGAGGAGTAGAAATTGGCTTACAATCTTACATGTTGAATCGTGACAAGATCTTCTTCTAGTAATTCTTTTTTGAAAATCAAATCTTACTATTACTTCTGTCTCGGTGAATTTGCATCCCTAGAATCTTATTTGCTGATCTCAAGTCATTCATTTCAAATTCCTTAGCCAATTGTGCCTTCAATTCTTCAATATGATATTTATTGGGTCCTACAACCAACATGTCATCCACATACAATAACAATATTACAAAATCGTTATCATCAAACCTCTTGATATAAGCACAAGGGTCTGCATTAAGTCTGTTGTATCCAAGACACATAATGAAGGAATCATATCTATTACACCAACACCTCGGCGCCTACTTTAGACCGTACAGAGATTTGATCAACATGCAAATCAAGTTCTTCTTTTATTTTTCTTCAAAACCTTCAGGCTGGAGTATGTAAATATGTTCTTCAAGATCTCCATGAAGAAAAGATGTTTTAACATCTAGTGTAACACCCTTAATCTGTATGTGTCTCGATATATGAGTCAAAGATATCACATCAACTTAAAAACATTTACTGAACTTAAATTTGCCTAAAACTTTGTTTTATTTGAAAACACTCGTATTCTAACTTTAAAAATCTATTTTAAAGTATATCTCAATCTATAATATATTTTTTTATCACAGGAAAACAAATTCATTTGTTAATCAGTAATTTTACTAAACCATGTCTTTTCGTGAAATATTTTAAAAACATAATAACATAATATATTCTTTTCATGCATAAATACTGATAAAACTAATCTAAGTAAAATAAACTAAAATAGTTCTAGTTTTCTATTACAAATTATTTAAAATAAATACAATAAATAGAAACTACTGACATAATTATACATGCCACTACTAGTTAAAAGAAAATTTAATGATGTCCTACTGATACTAGTATTATAGATGATCATCACATGATGCTTGAAAGGCTCCTTATAAAACGTCTGTATCTCAATCAGACCCTACGCATGAAAATCATCACGCGCTAAGTATAACTTAGTGAGGCAGTAATAATCTAAGGTGAGAAAAATATGAAAATATCATAAACATAAATAAAATAATTCGAATTAAAACATTAAACTGACAAACCAACTTTTCGAAGTCGATTTCTTCACTGAGACCTGAATTTTTTTTAAATCATGAAATCATGAACAACAACAACAAAAAAACCCTATTCCCATATGCAAAGGGGTAAGGGGGAGGTAGGTTAGTAGGATACCCCCAAAGCCAGGTTTGAAGCAGCTTCCGTGTAGGACCTCCGGCAGTCAGAAAATTAAAAATAAAGATAAACTGCAATGCATGTATAAATATATAAATACATAGTTGAACAATCTTCATATGCAATATTCATATGTGCGTCTGTAATGGGAAATAATCCCTGCAAATAAATCTTTGCGTAAAAATCTCTGCATATAGACAGAAACGTAAGACCCTGCTAGATTTAAAAAGAGAAAACATGAAGAGAAATATACACATAAGTCAACGATAGCAAGCTACGAGAAGGAAAAAATTCAAATGGGTTAAAACCTAAAACTAATTCAACACTACTCCGCTACCCTAGTTCTAATCCTTTATAGATTCCAATGATAGAAACGTATAAGAGAAGTCATGGAAAATACTACAAAGCCATTAAAAGAAGACAGAGATGATACACCCTATGGATGTGAGCCGCACTACTAGGCTACCCTGGTCTTAAGTCTCCATACTTTTCTATGAAAATTCTGATAAATCATATCTGATAAAATAAGCATATCATGCTTTCTGTCAACTGGAATTCATTCACAACTTGCATATTCATTTTCATAACCCAATGCATATTTATGAGAACATAAGATACGTGAGTAAGGTGCGCACTATGCACAACACTATTCAAATCGTAACTGATACTGAGATATGATGCACTTCAGTGCCATCATAACCTGAATAAGCACCAACGGTGCTGGACATTGATACACGAATGTACCAAAGCTGATATGATAACATTGATACACGAATGTACCAAAGATGATATGATAACATTGATACATGAATGTATCAAAGCTGATAATACTCAACTAATGGCATGTCAAGTGTACCAACAGTTGTCACTATAACACTCAGTGTGCTAACATATCATAATAAATCCATCATAAAAATATCATGCTTGGGTAGTTAATACCCTAAATCATTCATAAAACTGATATAGAATATTATAAAAATATTCTTTATAAACTTTATAAATCATACTATAAATTTGAATGAGGTTGACTTATCGCAAGTCGTCCTCGATCAAAATAATTAAATAAATAATTGCACTCACCTTTACCTCACTACAGAACTTGAATATAATAATCCTAGTCACAAGTTTTTTCCTTTACTTTTGTTGAGTTAATCGATCGATGGAATTGGCCAAGAGGGGGTGAATTGGCAATTAAAAAGTTGGTGGAAGCTTTTGCAGAAAATTGAAAGAAGTTGTACAATGATTTAGAGTGGTTTGACTTTCTCAATCAAAGTCTACGTCCACTACCTTAGCTATCCACACTAAGGATTTTCCAAAAAATTCACTAATTTGTTCTTTCTTTTGAGGACAAAGAGTAACCTAACAACTCCCTCAAGAATTATACCCCGATTCTTGAGTACATTCTTTTTCAAAGAGAAATACACAAATTTGCAAACTTACAAGGAAAACCTCACAAGGCAATATATTTGTACAATTCTAGAATAAGATAAAAACAATCAAAGATGATTACAAATGAGCACAAATTGTGTTCTTGAAAGCAAAATGAATATTGAGAGGAAATTTGGCTTGAATTGCACAAACTTGATGTTTGATGCTTTCTCTCTTGTTTCTCTATGATTTCTTCTTGATTGTTGTTTCTTGTTATTTCTTGTTGTTGATCAATGGATTCTAAGCTTGTTTAAATAATCCTTCAATTGATTCTGAACGTTGGGGATGATTAGTGGAGTCAATAGGGCCGTTTAAGTGTGAAAATAATTAATAAAATCAGTTGGGAACGTCAGTGCATCGATGCATACCCAAGGTGCATCGGTGCATCAAGTGTAAAATTCAAATATTTTGACCGTTGGACCCTTAGTGCATCGGTGCACTAAGAGTGCATCGATGCATAAAATGCATTCGATGTTTCAAAATAGCCTGAGTGCATCAATGCATGGCTGGTGCATCGATGCATCAAATGCATTCGATGTTTTCATAAAACCCTGAGTGCATCGATGCAAGGTATGTGCATCGATGCATAAAATGCATTCGATGTTCAATTTATTCCATGGTGCATCGATGCATGGATTGGTGCATCGGTGCATCACTTTGAAAAATTGATTTTAGGCTTGATTTTGGTTCAAAATACTTTGTGAAAATTGTTTCAAAAATATATTAAGTATAAAACACAATTTTACACATTTAGTAAGGTTTGAAATTAATCTTGAAAGACTTGGAGTAATAATTTGATATTCGAGTAATTAAATCGAATATGCTTAGAAAATCATTTGTAAAATCTTAAAATTCATTTAACTTAATTTGTTATATCAAAACATCAAAAATGTTTTCAACAATCTCCCCATTTTTGATATAACAAAACATTTGTATAATTTTAAGATTTTCTTTGAAAATAAATTTTGAAAATCAAGTTTGAAATTACTCCCCCTTACTTTAACACTTCTCCCCTTTAAAACACTTTAACACACTTAACATTTCTCTCCCTTTTTGTTAAATAAAAAAGACTCAAAAACCAATTTAAAGAAGGTTTTGAAAAACATAGCCAAGGGATTATAAGTAAATAAGATTAAGCTGCTAAGATCACAATCAAAAGAGAGATTAGCCATTAGTTCCATAATCAATATTAATAATCAAATGTGAAATGACATAATTGGTCATAATGAACTAATATGTAAATGATGAAAAAATTAATAAACATTAAGCTCAAAATAAGAAAGATAAAACCA